AGTTGATTATATGCCCAAGGATGGCTGCTTGTTCACTAGGCTCTCCCCCAGTTGCAAATAATTTTTATTTATTTTTTTGTTAATTTTTTTGCAGGAGACTTGTTTCGGCGTGGTTCGTCGCGAATTGTCACATTCTCGTGAAGACATTCTGTCTGTGAGGAATCTTACTTCCTTCCCTTGTTGTTGATGTATCTTGCTTACTGTTTTACTCTTATAAGTTCAACATTGTCATTTCTAGTTTGAGCTGCTATTCCCTTTTCTGGTGAACTTATAAGCGATTAGTTTGCTAGTTCATAAGCATTCACGTTATGGGGCCTGTAATGCTAAACCTATGCATGTTATGATGTGTTCTGGCAGTTCCTTCTCCAGTGTGCTGAGCAGCTGCCTCACAAGATGCCGTTGTATGGAACGCTGGTATGATAACCTCCAAATTCTCACCCAATGAAAACAAAGAAAACCGAAAAAAAAAGAAGATCCGCTTTGATGTTATCATATTTTACTCTGTTTTTTAAGTTATGTATGGGTGTTTTCTTATTGTATACTGCTACATTCTTGTGGTATGCCCTTTCTTGTGCAAGTTGGTAGGTTAGTTGATGTTGTTTTTGGAAGCTTGAGTGTGTGAACCATTCATTTGAAAATGCTATTGTCTTGACTTTCGAAATTAAAGTAGAAAGTTCTTATATGGATGAGGATCAAAAGTCATACTGCTACATAATTTGAAACCAAGTCATTGGTTTGTGAAATTTCAGTGATTCACTTTTTTTTTTTTTTTTTCTCCAATGGAAATTTAGAAGGGCTTCATCGCACAATGTATGCTGTGAAATGCATTTCCAATGTAATAGAATATTGATGTGCTGCAACAGCCTAGAAATGCAAGTTCCCTTCATATGTATTATCAAGCTTATCTATGTGGCCAAACTCAAGTAATCTCGAATAATATGTTTATTTTGATTTTAGTGATAGCATAATCTGAAATATATCTTTTACTTACTAAATGGTTGCATGTAAGTCAACATCCATCTGATTGTGCGTTGAAATAGCATAATTGTATAAGTTTGCTACGGATTAATCATGCTAGCAGTGTTTACTGGCGGATGGCGGTAGGCCAAAGTCCTGCCACAGCGGCCTATGGCGCTGCCATAATTGCCATCTTTCCAAATTTAGCATGGCGGTTTGGCAGAAATTCCCATCCTATACCGCCATGGCACTGCCATGAGAGCCATTCGATAAACACTTCATGCTACTGATGATCTCTTCTCTATGCTTAATTAAGATTCTCCTGTTATTATAGGTTGGCTTGTTAAATCTGGAAGACGAAGATTTTGTGAGGAGAGTTGTAGAGAACACACACGACAGTTTGCAGGTAAGGAAAGCAAACCTATAAAATATGATTGACATTATATGTTCAAGTGTATCTAGTATGTGGTGTTGTTTCCTTTCTTCTCTCTCATTCACAAGCCATTTTCCCTAATTGTATCAAAATTATCTTCTGCTTGAAGTCTGGTTGGGCATTTGCCACAAAGTAATCTTTATCTTTTGGAAACAAAGGCATGTTTGTATTGTTATTGGTTTATCACGTCAGGCTAAAGTTAAACATGTTAAGTTCTAATATTGCTTACTAATTTCAATATTATTGTTTAATGACAGATTGCATTAGATACTGGAAATTGTAACAGTGTTCGCATACTTATGCGCTTTCTGACCGTCTTGGTACGTTTGTGAGACTTCCATTTTGCAACGTTTGTGAGACTGTTCCATTTCGCAACTTCTGTGAGACTCTTCCATTTTGCATGATAACGTATGTAGCTCTATTTTCAAGTCCATAATTCGGTGTGGAAATTTTAATAATACTGCTGTTACATCCTACTTGTGAATTTGAAGTTGTTGAGATGTCGGAAGCTTCCAACTTTTAACTACCCGGAAGGTACAGATTAAGCTTGATGTGGATTCACATATAACCATATCCAAGTTCCATTAATCTTCGGTTTATATTAGCTTATCATAATTTTTCCACTTCCAATGGAAAAGATATGAGTAGCTTTGGTATATGTTTCCCCTTTTCTCTCATGTTCAAATTATTGGCCCTTTTCTCTCATGTTCAAAGCTCAAATTTTTAGAAATTACCGTATTTAACATAGAATATTTATTAGATGAATGTAATGAGGTAGAGTTTCGTTGACTTGGATTCAACTTATGGAGTAATATTTATTAAGTTCCTGACGAAGACCAATGTCAGTCTTTATAGTTCCAGTTATAAAATGCCATGTAGCTAGTTAAGTGTGTTTATAGTTCGTATGGCTATGCTCTCTGTGTGAAATGATTGTAAAAATTCAATAAAGATGTGGCGGGTCTTGCGTTTTGTTAATTCTCTTTTATTAAATGCAGATGTGCAGCAAAGTTCTCATACCAAGCGCCTTAATGGTTTTGTTTGAAACATTGTTATCGTCAGCAGCAACAACAGTGGATGACGATAAAGGAAATCCCTCGTGGCAAGCTTGTGCAGACTTTTATATCTCTTGTATTTTATCATGTCTTCCTTGGGGTGGAGCAGAACTTGTTGAGGTAATTTTTTTCCGTGCTTCTTTGATGCCAATACTTCTAGTTTGATGAAAATATTACCAAGGTGATAAAGAACATTTGGATTTCTTCTTTTTGAAATTTCTCTTAATTGTGTGACTGTAGATAGATATTTCGTTGAATATCTTTCTTTATATCCCGTCTGTTTGCTCCATTTTAGACCTTTGAATATGTTTTGCAATCGTAGTATTAGGATTTTTCTTGCATTGGTTGAATATAATTTTATTCCCAGCTGCGGTCACCCTGGCAAAAGATATTTATAAATTTGAGGTTCGTAGCATTGAGTTTTCTTGTACTGCCAGCTGATATAGATCACAGGAGAGTGACACATAGGTTTTAGAACCTCTGATTTTCTCAATGATTGTCTTTAAAATTAATGCTAGTACAAGTATTTGTGCTTTTATTGTAACAAATAACAATAAAACTGATAGTCGCACTGAAAAATCTTTACTAGAAACTGTTATAAATGTGCTTTTCATGTGTTGAAATATTCTAATATCATAATGGGAGTGACATATACTGATTTACTAGAAACTCTGGTTTGTGATACACAAGTGCATCCATTTAGGTGTTTCAATAAAGGAAATGAGTTTATTATGTTGTCAGATTTTAGGGATGGTTACTTAAGCCACCCTACGATAGATATCTATAATAGGTTGAGTCTTATATCCTCTATCAAGTTAAAGTGATTTCTGGTTCTCTTATATTCATGTTTGCAATATTTTTTCCCAGATAATCAGGATATTTTTGCTAGGTCTTTTTTTTGTGCATTGTGCTGTATGAGATATATTTGGTTGTCGGATCTGAAGAGGACAAATTGAAATTTGAACTTAAGTGCTGTAGCATCGCCCTTTTAGCTTCTCTGATGTATACTGTTGGTAGTTTTAGTATTTATGTTGCTGCAATTTTTATCTTTTCTTCCGAGTGTACACACTCTACAGGCTGTATTCCCATGGTGAGGTTGTTATCAAAAGAATTAAGTTTTCTCACCTTGTTTGTTTCTTGGAAAATGATTATAGTTTATTTGAATTCCAGCAAGTTCCAGATGAGATCGACAGGGTCATGGTGGGAATACAAGCCTACATGAGCATAAGAAGGCATGTCTCTGATGCTGGCTGCTCTGTATTTGAGGGTATTGATGGTAAAAATCAGGGTGTTGTTGAACAGGTAATTTGCTAAATCTCTTTTATTGCAATGCATGAAGTTAACCAAACATATTTTCTTTCTACACCTATTTATTCTTCATTGACATTTCTAATACCACTCATGTTTCAATTCTATGCCTAATCCAGCTAAAAGTTTGAAATCCATCCCGGTGGAAGTGAAAAAATGAGATTCTTCAGGGATGAAAACCCTGCATCCCCTAATTTCTATCTTATTTTCACTCAGAAAGTTGTTAAGTAGTAAATAATGGGATTGGAAAGAAAATTTACGACCACCAATAAATGGTGTATATATATGTATATATTTGATTTTAATCTTTTAACCTTGTAAATTCCAGGATTTCTTGGAGGATCTATGGAGCCGTGTTCAAGATCTTTCCAACAAGGGCTGGAAGCTGGATAGTGGTATTGTTTGTGTTCCTATTTATTTTCTTTGTCCATTGTTTCTGTATGCTCTAGATTAGACCAAACTTGGATACAGAAAACTGTTTCAGTTCGTCTCTAGTATATTTGTTTCTAGGCTGTATGACATTGAGCTTAATTTTATACTTTGAGTTTAATTTTATACTTGAACTTCCTGTAAAGTCTTGGACATGTATGGTAGCAAACTGTTCATGCAATGTGCAAGTATCTTATGTTGAGTTGTTTGACTCTTCAACAATAAGGTTACATATGTTCTGGCCCATGCAAACTGTACTAAATGATCTATCAATGAGTCACAAACTTTTACTATTGAGAAGTTACTAACAGAAAAGCTAACTAATTTCACCTTGCCATTTTTGTTAAAAATTTACAACGACACAGAATGTTTTTGTGTTTACCATGGAGAAGTACATACACTGTGACTTGCAAGTTGCAAGACATTAATTCTATAAGTTTTGTCAAACTATGCCTGCACAATTGATTTGCTATGGTTATTCGGTAGTTGTGTCAGAAGAAAAATGGTATAATGATTATGGGCCTTTTGTTACTGGAAGCTTTATGGCTTGTGTAAATACTCTCCTCGGTGTATGTTTATCTGTCTTTCTACAATCTTTTTTATTCTTCTCCGTTCAGTTCCTAGACCACACCTTCCATTTGAACCACAACTTGTTGGTGGGAAGTCTCACGATTTTGGCCCCTTAACCTGCCCCGAGCTTCCTGATCCTCCTGCTTCGGCGACTGGAATTGCCTATGAGAAACAAAAACATGAAGCTGAGCTAAAATATCCTCAACGAATAAGGAGGCTCAATATTTTCCCTTCTAGTAAGACCGAGGTAATTCATTAGATCACAATGTTAAGCCTACTGATTTTTGTATATGCTCTTTTGTTTCTTGATTCGGATTGAAAAAGTTGTTGGTGCATTTGATCTTCACGGTCAAGAACCTGATGTTTTTTAGGATATCTATGTGATGAAGTTTTCTTTTTATTCCTTTTCTTTTCTTTTTCATTTTAATTCTTAATCAATTGACTACATCCAGAGTTCAGACCATTCGTATCCCTTGAAGAAAGTTACTTGGAAAAAGAACTAGAAATGTAGAACTTTTGCATGCACTGGTAGAACTCTCAGAATGTAGAGAACTTTATGGTTAATTGGTTATTCTTTATTAACTTACATTGTGATGGCTAATCCCGTCCCTATTATGTCATCTGAATATCTGGTTATTTATCCAGTAAGTAACATTTGCTGTAATGACTTGTAAATTCATTTGCTCTTTTACTAATCATCATCATGATTAAACCTTGGTGACTTTTAAGAAATCAGAGTCCAACATTATGCCAAATTAATCTAATTTTCTATCAATGAAACACTAATTCTCTTCATCATACTCTTCTCGGTGGTTCTTATTCTCTATGTTGTTATTTGCAGAACTTGCAACCTATTGATCGGTTCGTTGTGGAGGAGTATTTGTTGGATGTTCTCTTTTTCTTAAATGGATGGTGAGTAAAAGCATATACTTATACATTTGTGTGAGCTGCATAAAATAGTATCACTAAAAGATGTCTTTAAACAATTTGCTCTATCTTTTGCCATTTCTGTCCGTTATTGTAGTGGTTTTATATCTACGAGAATCATTTTGGTACAAGAGTTGAAAGATCAGTAGCTATAGGCTATCTAATTTTAAGTGCTTGGAGTTGAATTCTTTTCTACATAGTTACAATCTTCTTGTTTTTTTTTTTTTTTTTGGTTACTGCAAAGCTAGTCGAAAGGAATGTGCTTCATCCATGGTTGGCCTGCCTGTTCCTTTCCGATATGAGTACCTAATGGCTGAGACGATATTTTCTCAGGTAAGAAGTTATGATGCAGTGTTTTTTATTTACTTCATGTACATTCTCTTGATTGAATTTTACTCTTTATCCATTATATGTTTCTATCTGAAATTTATTCAACTTATCTAATGGACTGTGGATTGCAAAACCATAGACTTTTTAGTTGAGGCAAGATATCGAGCCAGAGTTGAGCCTGGAAGAATCAGGGATTGCCTTTTTCCTGGGTTGTTGAAATGTGTACTTGGAGGAAATTTCCTTTATATGTCCAGGATGGAAGTTGTAACATAGATGTAAGAGTAATATAATTGGACGGTGCATGGTGGAATATGAGGAGAGGGAGTGGCCTGATAAGATTTTTGTTTCTATTATTCCGTGGAAGTTCAGAAGTTGTAACATAGCTGTAAGAGTAATATAATTGGATGTGCCATGGTGGAATATGAGGAGAGGGAGTGGTCTGATAAGATTTTCGTTTCTATTATTCTGTTTTATGTATCATGTCGTTCTTATTCTCTTTGTATATGGCAGATCCTCTTATTGCCCCAACCACCATTCAAGCCAATCTATTATACATTGGTCATTATGGACCTTTGCAAGGTGCCCCTTAATTGTTCCAAATTTAATTTGTCGTTGTGGTTTTTAAATTGTCGTTGGCACCCTTCAGTGTTCTAACTAAAGTTCCATTCCAGGCTCTTCCAGGTGCCTTTCCTGCAGTTGTAGCAGGAGCTGTTCGTTCTCTTTTTGATAAAATTTCAGACCTAGACATGGAGTGCCGTACACGTCTTATCCTTTGGTTTTCACACCATTTGTAAGTTTGTGTTCACAAAATTTTGTGTATAAATAGGTGTAGTGATTGCCGGAATAACATGAGCTGCGTCATGCACTCATGAATATATTGCTATGTGAAATATAAGACAAATTGTAAGAATTACCAGTATGTGCTATGATTGGAAAAGCTTGGTTTTTGGAATATTGCATGTGTTATCTGCGAGTAACATTGTGAGTGATTTAGGTGGACTCCGCTATTACCGAAGATACGATTACCCTTTAGTATGTAACTTGTATAAATTTCTGCGTACAAGTAGGTGTAGTGATTGCTGCAATAATATTGAGTGCCTCATATACTCATGTATGTATTGCTTGCTGAAATATGAGCAAAATGGAAGCATCATCAGTATGTGCTGAGTAAGTTGGAAAACCATAATTTTGGAATATTGCATATGCTGAGTACCTTAGTAAATGATTTTGCTTGAATGCTCTATTACTGAAGATGTTACTCCCTTTGTACTTTTAACTGTTGGGTAAGTTTTGGTTCTGCTTATAGACTCTGCAGAACATAAAAAATCTTCATTTTTTTTGTTCTTCTTTTCCCGGTTAGATTTAGATGGTTTTCAGCACTTAAACCATTTTCTGCAAGTAAAATCCTTTTCTGTTTGGCAGATTTCATGCACATTAAATGTAGAAGCAACCTCATCTTGGATCTCTTTCTTTGTTATTGTTTCTTCAGTAGAGGACATATACCTCTTGTATGTGCCATTTTACATATGCGTAGTGTGTTTTCCTTCTGGTTTCATCTGTGACTGATTTGCAGATCAAATTTTCAATTTATTTGGCCATGGGATGAATGGGCTTATGTTTTGGACCTTCCAAAATGGGCGCCTCAACGTGTGTTTGTTCAGGAGGTTCTGGAAAGGGAAGTACGCTTATCATATTGGGACAAAATCAAGCAGGTAATATGTCATTCGTCTTTCAATCAGTTGCATTTTCGTCTGTTTTTAATTTTTTGAATATTTATCTGCTTTATCAACCTTGCACTTTCCTTTCTCTTTTCCCTGATATTGTCGTGTAAGATGTTTTCTTAACTAACTCTATTATTTGGTTAAATATCAATGATAAACAAGACTACCATCAATTTCTTTACATGCTCTCATTTATCAAAAGCAGGTATATCATATATGTAATATACCTATCCGTTTGATTGGCATTTATTGACCTACCAGGAGATATAATTAGTGACTTATTGTTCTTGGACAAGTCTTGAGCATAATACATATGAGTTGTGACTAATTATGCAGATTTTTTTTTTCTTTTCATATTATATGGCGCAACTGTGCAAGATATTAGGAATGCTGTGATTTTATGTGATTACTGGTTTTGAACAATCTGATGGGCTGATCTTGGATCTATTTTCCATGTTTTTGGAACATTTGCTTTAAATGAACTTGTAGCAGTACAACACTCGTGTAATTTACATGGATGTTAATTAAGAATCTTGTATTTTAGAACTATAAAAATAAATAAGTGTTTATTTTCCGCTAGACTCGCTCGTCCTATTTTATAATAAATTTTGCCAACTCTTATCATATAATAGGCTTGATAGATAAATTTATTAAATTGATAAATAATAAATTTATATTTTCTAATTAGGATTGATAGATGATTTAATTTCTAAAAAGGTAGATATAATTATTGTTATATTATTCATGTAATATGGAGAAAAAAGATACGCTTGTATTGAAACCTGGAGTGCTATGTATGAGTTTGTTCGTTGGAAACAGCATCCTGATCATCTAATTTCTAAAAAGGTAGATATAATTATTGTTATATTATTCATGTAATATGGATGTGAAATCGAAGATGTCATAAGATAATTTATTTGATTATCATTTACTAAAAAACTGATAACAAATATAAAAGTTAATAATTTTTAAAATATATTTATATTTATAATTTAAGTTAGATAGGTGTATTATAATTTTAGAAGTCCTAATGGCTTGAATAAAAGTGCAGATCTACATGGGACTACTTTGAACACCACAAATTGACATATAGGATCACAAAGCTCTAGAAATTGGCACTTAGGCTCGGAAACTCTTCAATATTTAGGAGTAATTGTGGGTACGTTGACTGTTTTTGCTAGTTGGCTTATCTGAATAGAGATGGGATAGTTCTATTTCCACTCCTGTCCGTCTTGTTGCATTTGTATGTTGGACCTGCCAGACTAGTTATTTCTCATGTGTCCTACTTCGGATTGCCATTTGCCTACACAATTATTTCTGAAATGAGTATATATTTTAGCCCCATAGATTTTACCATTTTCTCTGTGCATATAGAGCATTGCGAATTTTTCAGCTAGCCAATTTTTATGAGTTATTTTTGGTGCAAGCAGAGCATTGAAAGTGCCCCTGCTTTGGAAGAGTTGCTTCCTCCAAAAGGCTCAATAAACTTCAGATACAGTTCTGCAGAAGGAGATCAAACCGAGCACGGACTCTCCTCGGAACTCACTGCCATGGTCAAAGAACGGTCGACTGCCCGTGCAATCATTTCATGGATTGAAGATCAGGTGCTTCCGGCTCACGGGTGGGATATCACACTCAGAGTAGTAGCTCAGACCCTCCTAAACATTGGTTCAAAAAGTTTCACTCATTTGATTACCGTGCTGGAGAGGTATGGCCAGGTCATTGCAAAAATCTGTCCTGATCAGGACAAGCAAGTTATACTGATTTGTGAAATGAGTGAGCTTTGGAAGAACAATGCACAAATGACGGCTATAGCAATCGACCGGATGATGGGGTATCGCCTTTTATCGAACGTAGCCATTGTGAGATGGGTTTTCTTAGAATCGAATGTTAACCAGTTTCATATATCTGATCGTTCGTGGGAGGTATCATCTTAGCGCCTTACTGATTATCATTATATTCAAATATGCCACACTAGTTAATTCTTCTTTATATCATTGTCTTATTTTTAAACAATAAGTGAGTTACTGATGAAACTTTGTTTGGTTTAAAGATTCTGAGAAATGCTATTACAAAAACATTCAATCGCATTACTGATCTGAGGAAAGAGATATCATCCCTCGAGAAGAGTGTTGCATCAGCTAAAGAAGTCGCATTGAAAGCTTTTGCTGAGTTGGAGGATGCTAAGGCAAACCTTACTCTGACTCTCGTGGATGGTGAACCTGTTCTTGCCGAAAATCCTGCGAAAATGAAGCGTTTGAAATCAAATGCTGAAAAAACAAAAGAGGAAGAGGTTTCTACACAAGAGTCGTTAGAAGCAAAGGAGGCTCTATTTGCACGAGCAGTCGAGGAAATTGAGGTATACGAAAATATAGCCTGCGATTTACTGTTGACCTACGCCTTAAACTGAAACTTCCATATTCAGATGGTATTGGTTGGATAAAATTTCACTACATGTGACAATCATGTAACAGTGAATTTTGTTATTGATCGAACCTGCAGGCAGTATTTATTTTCTTGTACAAAAGTTTCTCGAATTTGTTGGCGGAACCCCTTCGAGAGACAGAGGGATCCTTGCACCAATCTGGTGAGCGGGACGAGATGGCCATTGAGCATGAAGGTGCATCAGAAATGGAGCTGGACAATGAGGGTGAAACTTCACATAAAAGGTTTGTCTTTCTACTTCAAACTATGTTTTTAGTCAAGGAAGAACCCATGAGATTCATTGTAATATAACCAAACTATCTTTTAAAATTACTAGTGTTCCCATGATATTTGTTTCTATTTTTAGTAATTACACCCACCCCTCAGGAGAGGTGTTTTTGTGGGATAAATATTGTATTTGATTTTGAAAGATAAATTGTAGCTTTTGGTAAGTAGGCTAAACCTGTGGTTGTACCTTTTGTTTTGTAATGTTAACCTAAATGTCGTATTGTTTCCTCGCCAATGATTGAACCTGTTCTTTGTGCTATCTGGATGATTTGGTTGGTGTTAATGAATATTGTTGCTGGTTGCAGTCATACCAATGGGAGAGGGACTGCAAATGGTTTTAGTGTTGGTGAAAAGGAACAGTGGTGTTTATCAACCCTGGGTTATGTCAAGGCCTTCACACGTCAATACGCTTCTGAGGTAAGCTCATAAGTTATCGGCAAGAAGCACACTTTATGCTTCTTTTGTTATTATTTATTCCTCGCCATCTCACAACGATAAAAAAAAACCTATTTATTATATTTGCATAATACATGCTATTATATTCCTCGTCATTTATTACTGCAGGACATTTTATCGGCATGCTTTTATTTTATTTTATTTTTGGTCTGTAGTGTAAGTGTTGCCTATATGAGTTGTGTTATGTTAGTTTGTGCTAATTCTGTGGGCTCTGCTTTTTGGCAGATTTGGCCTCTTGTTGAGAAATTAGAAGCTGAGGTACTAACTGAGGATGTTCATCCCCTATTCCGGAAAGCTGTATATTCTGGTCTGCGCCGGCTCAGTGACCTCTAATTTGTTGTTATTTTATCGTCTCATGTGAGTGCCTTGGCACATGTTATTGTTGGTATTATATAGTCTTGCAAGAAATGTAGCTTTGGTTAGATGAGTCGCGGGTAGTCTCATAGTCAGGAATGGTTTTGAAAGGTTTGAATACAGATTTATTAGTGACCTTTGGTGTATCTGTTAACTGTTTCCGCCTTTAAAATTATTGGCCTTCGGATTAACCTTTGATTGCTGCATGGCTTTTTATAGTTGTGTACCAATTACCATAGTTTTTAAACCCGGTCTGAGAATTGACCCTCAGGCGAACTTCGGGTGGCCGGTTCAACTGGCGGGTCATTGGGGGATTCAACGTGATTGTTGAATCGAATAATTAGTTTTAAATTTGAAAATTATGTACATAACATTTGTATGATATCTCACCTAAAATATGTTCAAACAAGCTCTATCCATTTGAAATCGGCGTTGGAATTGCTCAGGCGTATATTTTGATTTGTTGCTGTTAAAGTAATCACTAATTATTAAATCATGCTGTTCTTTTCTTTCACATCGAATGTAAAGTCTATCAAGCTTTGGGTTTCCATGTCTGTTCTTTGCCAACAAAAGAGAAGGGCAATGCTATATGTACACCCCTTTTTAATAAATTACACAAAGGGCAATGCTATATGTACACCCCTTTTTTACACACAAGGGGGTGTACATATAGACACCCCCAAAGAGAAACTTGGAGTGTGGTTCAATGTTATGTTCGAACAATCTTCATTCATGAGTTCATCAAGTAATTTTCTTGTAACCGAAAACTCGTTGTCGCTTGAGGATGAGCCGTTAGAGTCTGACATAATTCAAGGTAGACATTACTTTTGTTGTTCATTGTCTACAAAAAAATAAATAAATGAATAAATAAATAAAATGAAAAATTAGCAATAAGAAAGAAAATATGTATTGGACATAGATTTATTCACTGCTAAGTACTAATTACTGAGGTGAGTACTTAACATTTACAGGTTAAAGGACATTTTGCCTTGTTTGACTGGCTTATCAAGGTTTTTCAAGAGGTTATTGAGAAAGGGAAACAGGGTCTGTAGTGTTTAACATTGTGTTGTTTGACATGGCTTATTTTCAATTGTAGTGTTTATCTGCAAGTTAAATGACACAAATTTAACATGAATTCAGAAAGGTTGTTGAGGAAAGGATGCTAGCACTGTGAGCCAGGATCGAACGTCGTCACTGAGTGACGCCTCAAGCGGTCTTCGCTTGGCCACGCCGCTCTATCGTCGAATCATACGATGTCTGTCAAAGTCTCCTGTTCAATATAAATGGACTCAATTGGTTGAAGAAGAAAAACTCGGTTATGTGGCAACGATGAAAAAAGATTTTTTGTTTCATCATTTATTATCAATTATTTAGACCTACTATTTTATTTCTGCATTGTATAATTATTGAGTTTTTTTTTTAAGGTTTGTCGTGACATTATAAACTTAAGTCTATTTATATGTCACATGTTTTAAATTAGACTCGAAACATTGTGGGTGTGCTATAATAAAGCCGCTGTAGGATAAGGGACGGGGAACTTGCCCATTATAAAATTCCGATAAAATGAGAAGAAGCGAAGAGGACCTCCAAAACCCCACCCTGTAATTGTAAAACCCACACGATTCAACTGCTGCAAAATATATAAAGCTTCAAGCTATCTGAAGAAGCCTTTTCAATCTCGCATTGCTTCTGTTAGAGCAGACTTATACTACAGTTATGGAGGTAGCTACGTTGCAATGCCGGCCAACCCCACTCCAATTTTCCCCGGAGAACCTTTTTCTCCGACGAAGAACCAACCGCCATTGCTTATCGTATCTCAGTTATAGGCCTGCGCTTTCCCGCCGAAAGAGGTCCATAATTTCGGCCTCGTCGTCTTCTTCAAGTGGCCCTCAGGGGTTTTCCTGGCCGCATCTTTTGCAGTCCATTCGACGCGGTTCTCAGCGATTTTTGGAGAATTTGGGCAAGTCCGCAGAGAGAGTAACCGGGATTAATTTGGAAGATATTAAGGCTAGAGTCGATGATATCTCGAGCAATGCCCGGGAATCGGCCCGCCAGGCCAAGGATGAGCTCGAACAAGTGAACTTGGAGATGATGCCTCAATTTGTCAGTTGGAATAAATGGGAAAGATGGAAGGTATATTGTTTGGGACTGAAGTTGCAATGATACACATTTTTTTTTTCTTTTTCTTTCCGAGTAAAGTTCAGAGCTACTATTCCTGATATTGTGATTAGCCGTGTGTTTCTGTATTTTTTTTTTTTTTTTCAATTTCCAGGATATAGCGAATTGGGAACCCAAAAGATTGGGTGTTCTGGTCCTATATGTTTTTGTCATCTTTTTTTCGTGTCGAAGTGCATATAAGGCCATCCGAGCTCCAGTTATTGAGCGTGAAAGAAGAGAATTGACCGATGCATATATGGAAGCATTAATTCCTGAGCCTACACCCACTAATGTGAGGAGGTGAGGACCTCTATCATCCATATTATTGAATTTGCTCTGTTTTAAGTCATAATTCTATGTTAGGAAGAACTAGCAGAAACCAATGGAAAACCATTAGTTACATAGTGTGGCTGCTTAGTGTACCTGTAAATCTTGAATGACATTTTGAAGTCTGACCAAAAAAATATAAAATATAATCATGTGATGACATTTTCACCTTGGAAATTCTATGAAGGGTTTAAGGTTAGGTTGCAATTGCTATGTTATATCACTTCTAGGTGCTGATATTGGTGTGGACATTTAATGTTATATACTCAGTTAATTGCGAGAAGGTGTTTAAAGGCTGCATATCTCCATTACAGAGTTCCTGGGGCTTTTTCTCTACAAGAGAAGAACGTTAAGTTTGCGGGTATAGATGCGTGAAACTTGAAATCCATAAATTTGTTAGGATATTTACTGTGTTATTGATGGACGGCCTCAGCTATAAGACTTTATGAATGTCGGGTGCTAAAAATTACTGTTCCTTTTGTCAGCTACATAGATTTTGATCCTGATGATCTTTTTCTCTCTTATGATCTTGTCTATTCCTGCTCGATGATTATGGATTGTTTCATATAGATTCAAACAAGGTATGTGGAGAAAGGCTACTCCCAAAGGCCTGAAACTCAAAAAACTTGTTGAAGGACCTGATGGCACACTTCTTCATGATAGTTCTTTTGTTGGAGAAAATGCATGGGAAGATGATGCTGAAAAGGCCCAAAAAGGCATAAAAGAACTGGTAGAACAGGAGATTGATTTGAACAAAGAGGATAAAAATGTTCCTGGTGATTTGGGTTTGTCAGGTATGTTTCATGTGATTTTACCTTGTGTATGAAACATTTGGTTTCACTGAACCATTGGTCATCCTTATGCTATACCCTGGTTCTTGGTAAAGTGATTATCTATGTCCACAGTCAACTTGGCTTTCCAGTTTCCGTTCTTATATATACTTATTCACTTATTTAATTATAAAAAAGCACAATTAGCATTGACAGTAAAGAATTATTATACTTACTCTCTAAAATTTACGCATCTATATAAAGATTTCCAAACCCTACTAACTTAAAAAGTAGCAACTTTTGGTGGGTTTTGAGGAAATAGAAGCAAAAATTTATCCATGTGAAAAAAATAAAGATAATAACATTGTCATGCTTCGCTCAAGTGTTCACTCGGTACAAGAGTACCATAGTAACAAAGGAACTATTTATTATTCAATCATATAGAAAAATTATGTGAAAGTGTCTCAAGTTGCTTTTTTCTTATTGCATTTTGCCAAATAAGTATGTCTTTCCTAAAATTATATGTCAACTTATATTATTACGGGTGCACGTAGTTGCTATTTGTATTTTTGGTATATTACTGTGACATTCTTGACTTAAATTTACGTATAGGTGCTGTAAAACTTCATTGTAAGTTAAAAAGTGCATATATGTCTGTTCAGTATACTGCAAATAGCTGATATTTATTGGTTGCTCTTAGTGTGAGTAAATATGTATTGCAAAGCCATTGTAGATACTTTCTCTTCCAAGTTCGAAAAATATGTGTAATGAACTTTAGGATTGTTTTATTTTCTGCATGCTTGTTGCGTCATGAAACTGTTTATTTCTTATAATTACCTCAACAGGCGGCAATATATTCTGATCGCCCAGTTTATGCATTAGAAAGACATTGGAGATGACTTCTATTCCAAAAATATGTGTCATGAACTTTCTGGTTGTTCTATTTCTCTACAGTTTCACATTAATCCAATGTGTACCATCTCAAAATTGACCTATTAACTCTCGTACCAAAGAGTAATCCAACGAAGTTATGTAGTGATTCTGAATCCTGTATAAGTATAACATTATGTAATTTACTCATTTTTATTTTCCTTTTTCCTACCCATTCTAATTGGATTTTCCTGACAGTTGAAAATCAGGTTCCTGGAGGAGCATGGCGTGATAGACTTGCAGCATGGAAAGAAATTATTCAGAAGGAGAAGATAACCGCACAACTCGACTCATTAAATGCCAAGTATGTGGTGGAATTTGACATGAAGGAGGTTGAGAATAGTCTTCGCAAGGATGTCGTCGAGGAGGCCAAAAATGCACATGGAACAAGGGCGCTGTGGATCTCCAAAAGATGGTGGCGCTACCGTCCGAAACTTCCATATACTTATTTCCTTCAAAAACTTGATTCCTCTGAGGTGGAAGTTTAACCATTCTTCAGTTCTTTTTTATTCCAATCTCGCTACTCTTCATTTTAATTAATTGGACATTCTATTCTTGATTGTACTTTCAAAGTTATTAAGGAGCAACTTCTGTAGTTCATGAGCTGCCTCTCATAGTTAGGTATTTTTTCAATAAGTTAGTTGGGCCTTTATCAGTTCTGATAACTGGCATGACATGTGAATCATAGGTGTCAGGAAGGGCAAGGAACGTTATATGTTTATGGACAGTTCAATAAGATTTTTTTTGTTTTTTTTTTAAATAAAATAAAATATTCCATTCGTATTACAGCCTCATGCATCGAAAGTTCATTTCAGAAGCTCCATCCGGCCACATGTTTATGAGGCAACCTAGTCTTGTAATTGTAAAGGCGATACTTAATTCATTTTATGTATCTAAATTTTTCTACATTTTCTTTCTTTCCAGGTTGATGCAGTTGTGTTTACAGAAGATCTAAAGAGATTATATGTGACTATGAAAGAAGGGTTCCCTTTAGAATATATAGTGAGTCTGATATCTTAATTATATCCAAACAAATTATTTTTCCGTGCGTGAATGTGTTTATCACTTACTTATGTTGTGGTGTTACTTGTGTAGGTTGATATCCCACTCGACCCCTTTCTGTTTGAGGCTATAACGGGATCTGGGGTCGAAGTAGATCTTCTTCAGAAGCGGCAGATCCATTATTTTCTGAAAGTTGTATTGGCACTGTTGCCTGGATTACTAATTTTATGCTTCATCCAGGAATCAGTAATGCTTCTTCGCGTTACTACTAGCCGTCTTCTGTATAAGAAACATAATCAGCTGTTAGATATGGTTCATGCTGAAAACTTTATTCTGGTGAGACCCTTTTCTTCAATTATCATCGTTATTTTAATAATGATAAATATTAGTAATAATGATCATCGTTATAAACTTTTATTTTCACATAAGTTTAGTGGTTCTCCACCTTCCCCACTTTTGAGCTAATTGATGTGGTGTTCAATTCTCAGCCAGCTAATGAGATTGGTGATATCAAATCATCAATGTATAAAGATGTCGTATTAGGAGGAGATGTCTGGGATCTTCTGGACGAATTAATGATGTATTTGGGAAATCCCATGCAGTACTATGAAAAAGATGTTAAGTTTGTGCGAGTAAGATAATGCTATGAAGAACTGATTATGCATTATCTTTGAGCTGTATCTTTTGGTACAAAATGTAAATTAACCCTATAATATCATGCAGGGCGTCCTTTTCGCTGGACCACCGGGAACAGGTAAAACCCTCTTTGCGAGGACGCTAGCAAACAAAAGTGGTTTGCCTTTTGTTTTTGCTTCTGGTGCAGATTTTACGGATACTGAGAAAAGTGGTGCTGCAAAAATAAATAATTTATTTGCGGTTGCAAGGAGAAATGTAAGTTGAGAACCTATAATCATGCCATGCTATATTCTTAGGAGGTACACGACTGAATAACGGGAGAATGGTGTTGGCATGGACGGGTGAATAGTCAGTAGTAAAACTTTTTATAATGGTAGGGATTGACAGGTTGATTAAGTTTTTGACTGCTTTTCTGAATTTAGTGATGGAATGAACCAAATTAATTTCCAATCAGGAAAAAAATTGTGAGCATTATTAGAAAACATGTTTGACGCCCTATAATTTCGAGAGAGGAAGATTTGAAACTACCAGTCGAAGGATGCTGCAAATATGCATTCTTCTACTAGAGTGATAGATTCCATGTCCGAATTGAAATGCCTTGCAGGATAAATCACCATCCAAGTTATGGTGGACAAGAAAACAAAATGTATATTTTTTTTTTGTTTTAGTATGCATGGCAATGTCTATATCTGCTATGAACTATATTTCCATAGTCATACATAAAATAACCTTTAATAACTTTTTTTTTTTTGTTGTAAATCTCAAAGTTTAGAAAATAGTTTTTACTGATGTTCCACCCTAAAAGCTAACTAAATTTTGATGAGCAAACATGGGCCTGGTCTCGCTTACGTACACACTGCATATAGTATTTATGAGCACACAGATGCATATGTATAACAGAGCATATCACTATTCATTAAGGAACGCACCTTTTTCCAGGCTCCTGCTTTTGTATTTATTGATGAGATAGATGCTATTGCTGGAAGATATGCTAAGAAGGATCAACAGAGAAGAGCAACATTTGAAGCACTCATTGATCAGCTGGATGGAGAGTAAGAAACGTGATCTGCCTAGTGAATAGATTTACTATGAATGATGTCAAGTTTCATACATGGTTTAAAATGTTAATCTGGCACATCAATAGTCCTTCCAAAATTTGTACAGAAGCACCATTTAAAATGTTGACGACAAAAAATGACAGATGTGGGCAGTGTTAATGATAGAAGTATCAGGTGAATGACAATGATGTTTGATTCTAAATTTGGTGATTAATATTTTTCATCCCCTCTGCTTCCCGAAGAATAAGGCAAAAAATGGTTTCCATATTAGTAGTAGAATAAAAATAGGCGTAGAATACTGTTCTATTGTAGATCGGGTGCCAATATAACCTTTAAACATGTGTTGCTTGATAAGTGAAAAAAAAAATACTTATTTTCTTGTTGGTTTTCTGTGAAAGTCGATGGTAGAATTTTTCTCTTGTTAAAAATAAAAATAAAACAAAGAAAAAAAACAAAAACTGGAGCATAAGTCCCTGGACATTACAAATTTGATTATGAAAATTATTTTTTTATTCTAAATGATGCAATATCCGGGGATCAGCAATCAATGAGCTGTGTTTTCAGCTGCACATGTCTTGTTAATATATAGTCACAAGTATGTCCTGGCTAGTTTTGATAGTTTATGAGTGGAAATGGAATTGTAATTTATGGCTCACAAAGTAGAGGGGTATGTGTCCTGCAATTTCCATGTAAATGTATTTCCCTACCATAGGCGTCTACTATTTTATGGTATTAAAGAGTTAGAAAATGATGATACTAAGTGTGTTTTCTGATGACTGAATATAACTGCTCTACGAGTAATCACTTGCCTGTAATTCTAGAACTCAAATGTCAGCTCATTAGTGAAGTATGCACATTTCAGTTTCATGTACTTGCTATAGATTCTTATTGTCTATTTGGTGCTGTTGTGGAAGTATACCTCTTAACATAAATATTTGTGTGTACAGGAGAGGAAAAATTGGTGTTGACAGATTCTCACTGGCGCAAGCTGTTATTTTCTTATGTGCTACTAATAGACCAGAAGTGTTGCACCCAGAGTTTGTTCTACCTGGTCGTATTGACCGCCGTGTGTATATTGGGCTACCTGATGCCAAGCAACGAGTACAAATCTTTGGTGTTCATAGTGCTGGTAAGGAGCTTGCCGAGGATGTTGACTTTGAAAAGGTTGTGTTCTCATTTTGTGTTATTCCTTCTGTTAAGTACGGTTCTTTCCTTATGATTTATCTTCTTGTGGTGGCTATTGGAACATATTTGAAAAAAAAAAAAACAAATTACTGCTTGCCTCTTAAGGTGTTCTCTTGAAATCAAAATATCAGTGAGAGGTTCAACAATTGTCATGGAATAAATATAGGTTAGTAATAAGTTTCGTCATTTGTAATTTTCTTTTTCTCACATCTACAGGTTGTATTCCGCACAGTTGGGTATTCTGGAGCAGATATACGAAATTTAATCAATGAAGCAGGAATAATGGCGGTAAGTTGGTTTTTCTTCTATGGCAATTTATCTTTTAAGTTACTGTATAGGGAGTGCTTTTATACATGGGTGTATTTGTCTAATTTGTGTTCTTGGTTGCACTTTACTGCTGCTTATGCGGCCATCAAAAAGGAACATAGAGAAGAAAGTAGCATAATTTCAATGGTTCTTTTTATTTTTTTCTCTCCTTTCTTTCTGGTAAATGTGCAAAGGTGCAATTATCTGAAATAAGTTCCTTTCTCGCATCTGCCATATATTCAGAGAATATCTACTAATCTAGTTAGTGACTCGTCAATCTTTGCACTCCACTGTTTTGGCCTATAGGATCCTGCAATTTGTTAAATGAATGAAAATGTTAGATTGGTCCCACTCTTAACCCAGTGATTGTGAGATTTTCTTGGCTGTATGATTTATACTAAAATCCTCAGGAAATAGGAGATATAGGATTTTAGGGAGAAATTATGAGTTCATTCTAATTTTGTATGACCCTCGATTGTGGAGAGAGGTTGATAAAGAGGCCTTTTCCCTTGTAAGTGTGAGAGCATGGCTGCTGGTCCATTGTGCCGTAACATCCACTTATGTGGATAACCAAATACTTGGAGCATCCTTATTGGTAGGTTTTGGAAGGTGGTTTAGAATAACATCCTCAGAAAAGTTTGATCACTGGAACAGGAGGTTTGGGATTTGGATTTTCGAGCCTGGTTCCAAACCAAACCCCCATTTAAAATCCCTTTGTGCTTTTTCTTGACAAAAAGGAAAAAAAGAATGCATAGACATTAAGCTACAATCTGCATTCTGTTTGAACATATCTGGAGTCACGCACGAATTTAATCACATGAGGATTGGCGGGCCCAGATGCTCCTGCTCTTTCCCCTTTCAATGTTGGCCTTTTCTTGTGTTTCATATTTACTATGTTTTTTTTCCTCTTATGAAAAATACATTTTTTATATTTGAAATGCATTTATTTTTATTTATTTTTATTTTTTTTTATTTTTTTTT